CTGGGAGGGGGGGGGAAATATTTCTTCCATCAATACATTTCCACTTTCCTGTGGCAAAAACATTTCCATTAATCTGCAATAACCGAATAAAAATGGAAGCTATACATCCATGAATGAAAACAATTAAACCTGAGGTAAATTTTGGAGGGCAAAAATATGTTCTGGATGGTAGGGCACCAGTGAACAACAGAGGCAGTAGACTGAGAAAAAGAAAAAAAGAGGGAATTTTTAGAATTTCCACAAGTTAGGAGTTGTGTCAGAGGTGAGTCTAAGTGATATTTTTAATGAACCCTGTTGATTATTTGGAGTGTATCAAATATATTAAATTCTTTTAGTGATAATGTATCAAGTTTTTCCTGCCTGTAGGAAAAGTACAGTTTTTCCAACAGTCCGTGATATTTTCTTCATGGTCACAGGAAAAGGGACAAAGGAGATAGAGTTTAATTTTAAAAGTTCCACCCTTGAGGCATTTTTCATTAAAAGGGCAATTGTTTGATAAATATCACTGAGGAATAAGTGTATTTTGATGGGTCAGATAACCAACATTTGATCACTGACCACAATAAATAATTTTGATTTGATACCTCAGGGACGTAATCCTGAGAGATCGCAGTAACCCCTATTTCTCAGTAATTGATAGTCACATTTTTAAAATTTAATTTTTAATTCAATTCTCAAATTTAAGTAGCCATCATCTCACACACACTCTGGACAGCGTACAATAAAATAACCAGCGAAAGCAATCATAAAACCTCATTTAAAAAAACATTTAAACACAACTAAGGGTGAGGGGAAGGTAATTTCTAAATATGCTAAAATATGAATGCTAGTCAAGCAATCTTGTAATTTGATACTTTATTTCTTGGATGCTGGTGGATGCTGCTGAGGTATTTAGATATTTACAAGTGAGTAAATACAACTTTTGAATTTACTTTTTAATTGCTTAAGGTTCTTCTCAAGATATGAAAGATGGTTTTAAGGATGAGACCTTTGCACTAAATCTCCTCAAAGATTTAGGCTGGGTCCACACACTGTGCTTATCCCTCATTTGGCTCATTTGGTTTCATCTTATTGTAATCGCTATTGACCTTACCTCCTTTATTAAAAAGGACAGAAATATTTCAAAAAGCTGTCATTCATAATATTTTCTTGGTTTTGCTCTTGAATTTTGCTTTGTAAAACAAGATTATAAATGTATACAATTAAGGTTTTTTTTTCCTTATGAACCTTTTTCAGATTTCTCCCTTTATCATATTTGTCGTTTATTTTTTCCAAGAAAATAATAGTTATATAACTCCTTCCCAAACCAGTGTTCGAGGTCAGCCACATTTGTGTTACTCTGGCCAAATTAAATATGAATTAATTTAATAAAATGTAGGTAAGGAAACCACGGCTAAATGTAATGTGTGAATCAGGTCAGTATAATCTTATAAAGATCTACCCCAAAGGAAGCTCCTGAGCTTAAAAGTAATATGCAGAATTACATGTAAGCAGGGGAAATATTACCACTATTTTTGTTTTTTTAAATACGTTTCTAAATAGAAAATAATACATTTCCACAGACATAGATTTAGTTAATTAAATATTTGAGGATTCTTATTTGAAAACCTGGATAAAAAGAACAGAAGCGCTATCACATGGAAATCTTATTTTGATTTTATTAATATGGGGTTGGAAATAAATTAAAATGTTTGAAAACAGTCCCTATGAATTTAAATTAACTATTAAAAGGTAATTAGTCACTGAAGCTCAAGGGCTCTCTCCTAAATAAATATACATGGAATATCATTAAAATCAGACTTATTTTTACATTGGAAAGATAACATCTGATACTTCTAGTTCAAATAAGTATTCATGTTGAAATTGCCAAATCCAAATATTCTTGTTAAAGATTAATGAAATTGGACAATCTAGATTTATCAACTTTTAATTATTTGTTACATTACAAACAAAAATAGGGATTATTTGACTGGAAATTTCTATTAAATTATTATTTTACCAACAGGTAAAAAGAAAATATTTTTGTCTTAAAGATGAAGTACTATAATGTTATGAACAAATAATATAAAATTGAAAACAAATAAACAATTAGGAACAAATGGTCATGGGTTATTTTTTAAAAAATCAACTCTTTATTGTTGGTATTACTGTGTGAAATTGATTGCGGTACATTGTTTTTAGAAAAAGAATAAAGGATCACACATTCAGAAACAGGATTTAGTAAGGAAGGAAAGAAGGCATGGTAAGAAAATATTAATCTATTTCTACATACATATATGGTTTTATTTACTGACATTTAAAATATTTCTAGCTTGCCCTTTATCCTGAGGATCTTGAGGTAAAGATTACAGTTTGCTTCCTAAATAAAAAGAATTTTGCATATTGTTATACAATAACTCTTTAAAATAATTTTGTAAACATTACATCTAAGATTCATGGTACTGTATTCTCTAAGGTCTTCAGTATTACGTTGCCCAGCTTGCATCTATACTTTTAGACTGTGAGTGCTATGTTATCCAGGAAAATATATTGATAAGCATATTTTGAGACTTACCCAATTGCTTTTCTTTTTGGAATGAAGTTAGAATGTACATGAAGAAATGAATTAATTCTTCCACAACAGAGTCCCCAACAGGTCAAAGGATTTGCTATACTTTTTAATTTTTTTTCATAGGAGTGAAAACTTGGCTTTCTATATTTATCTTAGTTTGAACATTTGCATGTACATGCACCATATACACATTTCTTGTGTAAGGTATTTAGAATTTGTCATTTTAAAAAGCATGAGTATTATCTAGACGTGTTTAATTACAGATGTGTCATCTAATTGATATTTGTTCCAGTAAACTGCTTTTAATGCTATACTAGGTCTTCTAAAACTGATTTAGTCTATTTCATTTTTTGAGAAACTTAAAAAGATTTCAACAGAGAGATAAGAAAATAATAGTAAAGTCCATTTGAAAAACTATAAGATTAAAATTGATCAAATATTGGGGCTATATATAAAATAATATACTGTAGTATTAATCAATTTCTAAAGAAGACTTTCATTGAAGATTTGCATAGTTGGATACAATATAGAAAAAAGTGAGGTTAAATAATGGTGAATAAGCTTTTGGGAAACAAGAAGTCATTATTTTGGAGCACATACATACCAACAGTTCATAAGGTTTTTGATCAACTATGTACTGATTTTATTATGGACATCAGTGACAACTATTGGACTGCCCACTCCTTTGATCTTCATAGTCCCTGCCTTTCTTTACCTTCCCTTAACTACCACATGATGACACTATGCTTCGCTTCAACTAGCATCCCTGTTGATTTTTTCAAGCCTTTTCTTTCTCTATCTCCCCTTAGCCTTAAAGGCATTATACATGCAGGTAGTCCTTGACTTACGACCACAATTAAGCCCCATATATCTGGTGCTTAGTGAGAGTTAAGTGAGTTTGTCCAATTTTATGATCTTTCTTGCTACAGTTGTTAAATGAATCATAGCAGTTAAGTTAGTAACATGGTTGTTAAGTGAATCTGATTTCCCCATTGATTTTGCTTGTCAGAAAGCCACAAAAGGTTATCACATGACCCTGGGACACTGAAACCATCATAAATATGACTCAGTTGCTAAGCATCTTAATTTTGATTGCATGACCATGGGGATGCTGCAATGCTCATTAAGTGGCAAAAAAGGTTATAAGTCACTTTTTTCAGGCTGTTGTAACTTCGAATAGTCATTAAACGAATTGTTGTAACTCAAGGACTACTTGTACAACTTCAAGGATAACAAAAAAAAAAAAATTACAGAAATTACTGGAACCCAGGGTGGGCTGGCTAAATCTGTTGCACTTGAAACCAAGAATACTGGCAGCTATGAAACTGCTGTCCCTTAGCTTCTTGGAAGCTTCCTATTCCTACCTGACTATAGAGATTGCAAATATGGCATATATAAAAGTTCCTTAGTATGCCGGAACCCTTGATTATTTTGAGGGACCAGGATAAGAAGCTACAGTACGAGCTGATTTTGAGCAAAACAAAATGTTCAGAAGATAAAGACTGGATACTGTCCTGCTGGTTAAATCTGCTTAACTGGAAAATATTTAAATGGTAAGAAATATATTGTAAGTATTACAAAATATGACAGCTAGAATCAAAACTAGAGGCAAAACACTAGCATTCTGAGATCTGAAAATGATACCTCCTTGTTAACTGAAAGTACAAAAGACTTTAAAGAGTTCATTATGAAAGAAAAATAGAAAGTGAAAATCTGTGTTAATGTATAATATTATGAGGATACATATAATGCCATTCTCCAGAATGTTACAGGTGATTGTAGAGAAATTAAAGTGGTAGAAAAGTACTTGTGCTCAAGTACATGCAAGGTGGGCATTAGGATGGAAAAACAAAGAGGTTATTTATTCTACTGAAGAAAGCAATGACAAACTTAAGATCCTGAAAGAAAAAGGACATTTCAGTGATAGCAAAGATAAAAATACTTACAGCTACAACAGTTTTCAATGGTAATGTATCATTGTAAAGTTGGACAAGGAGTGAGAGAATTAAGACAACCCTCTTGAATTATGGATTTGGAGATGATTATAAAGAGAACCACAGATTATAAGAAGAACTAATGATCAAATCCTGGATCAAAAATTGACTGCTCCTTAAGGCAATAATTGGCATGTAATTTCTGTACATGAAAACAAATAAAACTATGCTTGGTGAGGCTAAGAAAGTAGAAGGTGGTAGATAACAAAGGGTGGATAAGAACAAGATCAGAAAATATTTGTAGAGCTGGGACAGGTGAACTTGGCAAGCATTTGCACAAAAGCTGCCAGAGATTGAGACCAACTTAATGGCATCTAATGATTAAATGATTAGAAAGCCAGTTTGATTTAGTGGTTAAGGCACCAGGCTAGAACCACAAGACTGATTTCTGGTCTTGCCATATGAATAAAAGCTAGCTGAGTGACTTTGGGATAGTCTCTCTCAGCCCAACTCACCTCAGATGGTTGCTGATGTTGGAAAAATAGGAGTAGGAAGGTGTATTAATTATGTTCACCATCTTGAGTTATCTATAAAAATAAAGGCAGGATAAAAAAAACCTGAAATAAACTCATTTTGGCTTTAACTAAGATAAATTAAATCTCATTGGAGTTAATGGAATAAGCCAGTAGCAACTAGCACCTCCAAGCTACAGGCTTAAACTGTAAAAAAAATATCTTACTCTATTCATTCAGATTTATTTCTAAATAATTGTACAATAATTGCAGCTATCCTTGTGACCAACAGAGGGTAATTAGGCTTTTAATTATGGAGTAAATCTATGCCTCTTGATTGATAAGGGTTTATATCAAGGAATTGTACAAGGAGCTAATTTAAAAGTACAATGGTCAGCATATATTTAAGAAAAAAATTCTCTTACACACAGTTAATTTAGTGAGAAATCTGAACAATTTTAGTGTCAGCCTGGTTCAGGATTAAATATAAGACTGGATTCAATAAATAACCAGGGATTTAAAAATTAGGGAAAATTGATGCAAGTGAAATTGAAAATTAGCAAAATACTGTACTTCCATTTTTACTATGGACTACAGTATTCTAGGTTTCTTATCGTTCAAAATAAAACATCAGGATGTGCTGCAAAGCCAAAATACTGAATCAGAAGACATTAAACTGAAGTTATACTTCCTTTGTATTCATTCATCTTCTCCAATGCATAATGTGTCTCTTTGTTAGAAATCAACAAAATCCTCATTATCTAAAGAAGAAAGCTTTCACTTCATGTTACCTAAAAAAGAGAGGAGGGGGGTTGGGGCAAAAAGCACCTCCATTCTAAAAATCAATATAATGGAAGCTTCAAGTCCGTCGGAATCGGAATCAGGCACAAACGTCAAAGTGGCAGAAAAGCAAGGTACAAGGGCGAGTAACCTTTCAGCCTTCGAGTTGTGAAAGAACACTATGAACAGACTTTCCGAGGAACGATAAATATTTTTACAAGAAAATATCTCTGTACGCTAAGTATTTTTTATAAGAAAATTAATCTCTTCGATTCTCTTACATGACACCAATAGTTTAGAAAGAACATTTTAAAAAAGGCAAAAAGGTACAAGATCTTTACAAAATTATCTCTGCCACCTTACTCATGTTGGCAGTTCGCAGGAGTTCTCCATCTGGTCAGACTTTATCTGTACGTTCCGCCTTTCCTCCGGTACTTTAGAAAGAGGCAGGAAAGAAAAAAGAAAGAGAAACTGCAAGGAAGAAGAAGGAAGCCAGGGGCACAGCGTTCCGACACGCGACGCAGAGCGGCCATCAGCTGTCGCGTACAGGCAGCGAACTCCAGATACAATCCAGCTGTTTTCCCGGCAAGGATTTCTCGGAAGGCTGAAGCCAAGTTAGCGAAGCCGACGGCCGCCGCAAGCAAGAGGGAGAAGGGGGAGCTTGTTGGTGTTTGGCGCCGGTGGAGGGAGTCATTCCTCCAACTGCACTTCCGGTCGGCATTTTGTTCTGAGAGGGAGCGAGAGCGACACATTCACGCAGCCTCTTATTTTTCCTCCCTCTTCCTTTCCTCCCTCCCCGGTACCGACTCACCGTAACCCAAGCGATCCCCTCCCTGCCCCGCCCCGACCGCGTCCACAGAAGGAGAGGCGGAGGCGGTGACGGCGGCGGAAGAAGGGAAGGAACAAGCCGCGGTCGAGGAGATCCCCCTCCCCTCCGCTCGCTCCTTTCCTCCCTCCCCTCCCGGGGTTGGTCGCTCGGTGGGTGCGTGAGGTGTTTATCGAATCCGGTTCGGCCCGGCCTGTGTGGATGTTGGGGTGAATCAAGCTCGCTGGGAGGACGACGGCAAGGAGGAGAAGGAAGAAGAAAAATAAAAAGAGGAGGAGGAGGAAGAAGAAGAAGAAGAAGACCGTGGCGGCGGCGACTTCAGGGATTCGCTTCGGCCGCTCTCCCCCCCTCCTCGGCTCTACATGTTCGCTGCACTGAGGAGGAGACGGAAGAGGAGCCAGCCCCCCTCCCGGTCCGGATTATTGTTGTTATATTATCTCCCCTCCTCCTCCTCCCGCTCCGCGGCGGCCCAGTGGCGGATCCTCTGAGGAGGGAGGGGGGCGGATTTTTTTCCTTCTCCCCCCCCACCGCTTGGTTTTCGGTTGGATTCAGACGACGCTTAGCTCAGGTAAAAGCCCCCACTCGCGCTTTTCCGTCTCCGGGTTTCTTCTATTCGCTTCAAGATAAGCGACGAGTTGGGCCTTCTTTCAGGCGAGGCGGCCCAGTCTGGAAGCAGAGCGGGGATTAGCTTTTTCGGCCGGTGTGGGAAAGAGGGGGGGGTGAATAATGAGTGGCAGCCAGGGGTGTTTCACGTTTCTCTCCGCCTCCTCCTCTAGGGGTTTGACCGATGAGAGTGGTTTCTTCCGAGCTGCTGGAGATGCCTAGGCCCAGAGGAGGGCGCAGGCCCAGCGGCCAGCGCTTTCACTCAAGCTCGGGGATGAGAGAGGCGAAGTGGTTTCACTGTGACAGGCCTCGGCGCCCGAGAGCAAAAGTGGGAGGAGGAAACAATACAGTTAAACAGCGACTGGGCACCGAACCTGTGCCATATTTACAACTGGGGGGGGGGGGGGGAAGGAAAGGAAAGAGACGAAAGTAATACGGTCCTAGTCAGAATAAGGGAGAGACGGGCGCTCATTTGTTTTCGGTTTGCAACAGTTGCATCTTTTATTTGTCTTAATTTCAAATTTGTAATTGGATAGGTGTGATTAATATTATTGTATACATCCTCCCAAATGCATAGATTTTGTTGAAAAGTAAAACCAGATCCTACTGAAGAATTTGCAGAACAGACATCCAGTTCACTGGGAGTCCATGGGTTGCCTAGTACCATTTATGTCATACTTTCTAGATACACAGTGAACAGCTATTTTGGTCCTTAAGAGGAAAGAGTTATTTGTAAGAACAGATATCCTATTTGGAAAAGGGTTATCTATATAGCTACTTGATATTTTAAAGGTCAAGCCACTGAAATCATGCAAATTATAGTAATTGAGCCTGCCATTTTACGTATGTTTATGTGGGAATATGTTTTATTGAAGTCAGTGATGCATACCCTCTGAATAACCTGATTATTATTGGGTTGAAAAATGTTCACCTTCATGAAAAGCAAGTTGACCAAAAAGTCTTTAAAAATTACTTTAAAATGTGTATAGTTTGTGTAACTTTGAATCAGATATCTGAAAGTTAATAATCTAATAATACTTGCAAATGAAGAATGACTTTGATAAAAACATTAGGATATTTTAGAAACTGGATAGATGACTGTAATTTTTTCCAGTGTAATTCTAATTTCTTTATATAGAGAAATCTATATTTCTCTGATAGAGATATAATGAATTGTGATATTCAGCTGGTCTGATAGCTGTTTTTAAAACCAATTTAAATCCTAGGATGGTTAAAACAAAGTGACATTTAATTGTGCTCAATTCTTATTAAGTTGTAGGTGTTCTAATTTTTGGGGAAGTTAGTCTTACATTTAATATTTCTCAGTAAAGTAACTTTTGTTAAGAAAGTACGATTGAGCTTTTATGGCCCGATATGTTTAAAAGGATGAAGTTAATATAGCTGTCACATAGGAGGCGTGTTTTTAATGTTGTAAATCCATGTAGTAGTCAGCAGTGTGTCCGTGATTTGTATTGGTCAGGCAGCAGTTTGAATTTTAAAAAGCCTGAAGATCCTGCTGAGCCCCAAACCCGGCCTCTCTCCCTCCCTCCCTGTAATCTGCCATTCCTGTCTTTGTGCTGCCTGGGCCTGTTAAACACTGTTTGCAATAGGGCCTCAGGCCTATGTGCATGAGAGAGAAACCATTTTCAGTCTGAAAAAGTAGTTTTTTATTTTTGAACTTTATTATTTCAAGCGTGGGTTACAATTTGCTTTTAAATGTTCTTGTGTGGGGAAGGTTGACTCTTCTCTGTGTGTTTAACTTTTATTTTAAGGTCCGGAATAGGTCTAATTTACAGAAAATGAGAGACTGTCCAGAGAATAATCAAGTACAGTATTATTCATAATCAGATAGTAACATTTGTGATGATTCCTCTGTTGCTTATATTAAATATGTGGGATTTTGCTTAAGTTGAAATGAGGTTTATTCTCATATCTCGTGTCTTCAGTAAATGATTTTAATGCAAAATTTGCTCTTGAATCAGTTTTCTATAAGTGTGTGGACTTTTGACTGTTCTTTGTACTTTATTTAAATATTTCATGTATTTAATAATATCCTTATTTGATATACTGTATATTAAAAAGAAATTACTATATTCATTTTGAAGTGTTTCTAAGACACCTGAACTATTATTTCAATAATACCTTGACATATTTCAATGTACATAATAAAAAAATGGTGCCAAAATTGTTTACTCTCAAGCAGCTGAGAGAAAACTACCAGGAAATTTCTTAAAATATAAAATAGAATGTGTTAGTCTAATATTTGATTAGAATGCCACGGTTAAGGCAATTTTCCCATAATTTCTGAGGATTTATAAAATGCACAATTTCAGTTATTTGAAATTGTAATTTTAAAAATAGGTGAATAGTGTATTGATATAACAAATGTTATTTCATAATTCCAATTACAGTAATTTTAAATGAAATCTTATTGTCTTCCATTAAAATTGATAATGAGATACCTAAAAATGGGGTTCTTGACAGGAATTTAAGTAGATTATTATATCTGAGAAGAGAGTTTTTTCTTTTTGTAAACATTTGAAATAATTTCAGAAATAAAGATGAATGCATTTAAAAATTAAAATTTGAGATTGTCTCAAGTGTAACTGTTTTATATGTCTATTGAACACAGCCATTTTTTTCAATAAATTTTAAAACTGCTCATAAATTATTCTAGGCATTCTAACAATGGAGCTACAAAAGGTGGCATTATAACTACAAACTTATGGAATTGTTTATTTTGGTAAAATTGCTTGTGTGTGTACATACATCTCTGTCTATACATACATACGTACATACATATATGGAGAGAGAGAGATCAGTGGATATAGTAAGGGATTAATGTAGCTGACATATCTATATAGATC